CCGAGCCGAAGACCCATCCTCCGGGAGGGAGTCCGTGCAACCGAGGAACCCCCTGTCCCAGGGCACCACCAGGGCCAGAAGAGTGCACGGAGCTCCTCAGGGACAACAGCCAGTGTCACAAACAGAAGAGCTGGGACAGGCACCAACTCGTGGGCCAGGGATGCAAGACTGGGTATAGGCGGACCACTAGAGAAACATTTGAGGATGGTACCAGCCCCCGGGGGTGAGAAGTGCCACCCGACTAAAGTGCAGAAAAGATTGAACCCTCTCCAGGTACCCAAACATGGGGGGAACACAACTCCCCAGCAAAGGTCAGAGCTCAGACCCTACAGGCACTGGCCTTTCAGCCCCCCACAGGAAGCTGCTGGGCTGGGGGCAAGACTCAAACAAGGACCTTGCTGTGACAGTGCTCAGCACCCGGGCCCATGTGGCCCTAACCAGGGGGGTGTTGCTAACATCTGGGCTACCTTTGGGAGCACATGTAGATCTGAGTCTGCTCCGTTCAGCCACCTCGAGTCTGCCCCTTCCCTTGGTAGCCCAGAGGCAGTGCTGAGCTGGCTGACAGGGCACAAGCGTGCAGAGCCCGCAGGGGAGAGAGGAGCCCCCAGATCCATCCTGAGAGCTCCACTGCATCACCAAGGGAAGCAAGTCTCGGGGACTGGACACAGAGGAGCATCTCCCACAGCAGTGCACATGGGAGGAACCTGCCAGTCAGCACTGACCCCATCCAGACCTGACAGCTACGAGACCTTTATTCAGAGTGTAAAAACAGTTCTCTATAAAGCAGATAGACCCAGAACATCCCCCCAAATCACAGATAGACCATGAGCTCCCACCCCACCATAACTCAATTGAGAATGCAGCCTGGGCCCCATTTTCACACTTCCAAGTGTACAAAACCCATCAAATTGTGAGTAAAGAAAAGCAAACACACTACAATCAGTGAAATCACCCATCCCACTGCTGGCTTTACATCCGTCTGCTGGGGAAGGAGCCAGGAATGGGTATTTCAGAGGCAGGGAGAGGGTGTGCAAAGCAGAGGTCCAGGACAGCAAAAAGGCACAGGGCAAGGATCACCTCCTCCACTCCCAACCCCTGGCACAGGGATGGGGGAGAGGTGACATACCAGCAGCATTCATCCAGTTTTGGGATCGACCTCCCCGGGCTGTGGGAAAGGAGACACCCCAGTGCTGGGAGCAGCCTCTGCTCCCCTAAAAGTTACAACAGAAAATTAAAATTAAAAAAAAGCAGCAAACGTTGAGGTCCTGGCAAGAGGTGTCTGAGGTAAAAGCCATCCGGGAAGAGATGTCCCAGTGAGTACCTGGAGGAAGAAACAGACTGAGACCAGCAGCCTCCTGCAGCAGGGCAGCTTCCACCCACGTTTCCCACACTGGTGCCACAGCCACCCAGACCCTTCCTCCAAGGCTGCCCAGACCCTCACCTTACCTAGAGATACATTACTGCTTCCTTCACTACTTCTTGGCTGGCATGATAGGAGCAAGCTCCTCCTCTCCCTCCTCAGACAAGTCATCAGCCTCCTCAAATGAAGTATCTTCCCTGTGCACTGAGACACACAAATAACTGTTAGTCACCCACGTACATCTTTGGTAAATACAACTGACCACCGAGACACCCCAAGAGCAGAAGATCCCAAGGGGCACTCGACCAGTTTTAGGAGCAGCCTGTAGGCAATAAGCTGTATCCCAGCTGGAGGGATCCCAGCCACTCAGAAGGGAGTGACAACAGCCAGCCATGGTAAAATGGAACACTGTAGGTCATCTAGACTCCTTTTCCCATGTGAGGCATTATGGCGAGGAAGGAATCCCTGTACAGAGACAGCCAGTGGGGAAAGAGCACCCAGCACACACACTGGGCAGCACCAAGTGCATCTCCCAGAGGGTCCTTGGGCAGCATTCATGCTGGAGAGAGCCACTCCACACCCCTTGCTCCTCCCCAGGACCTTCCCCACACATGAGTCCTTACTGATCCTGTGCCAGCCAGCAAGGTGTACTGGGCCAGAGCCCGCTGCCAGGCGGAAGGTCACTGGAGGCTGCAGCTTGAAGTTGTCCAGACTCAGCTGCAAAGAGACAGAGAAGGACTCGAGTTAGGGGCAAAGGCAAAAAGCAAAATTTCCTGCAGTCCCTGGCACAGCACCCACCCCAGATAAAAATGAGGTCATCTGCAGCCAGGCCAAGGCTATCAAGGGCCTTTCCCCATGAGCTGCAGACCAGCTCATGGTTAGGATCCTAGAAGAAAAGGTCCAAAACCATGCAGAGATGTCCTGTTTCCTGCAGCAATCCCCACTCGACTCCGCAAAACAACCTCTTACCAAGGGCTGGCATGACAACTTCAGATTCGCCACAGGCACAGCAATCTCCTGGTTCTCATGGTTTCGTCCAACCACCTCCACCACGTTGCACTCGTCCTTGGCACCATCCGTAAGGCAGACCTGGGTGGGGGCAGAGGCTGTGAACTCCCGCTCTCCCAGGGGACACAGCAGGAAGAGCCAGGGCTCTCCACAGGACAAGTGACCCACAGCAGTGCTACCAGCCCAGCTGCCATGCAGGGTGTGAGGATGCTGCTACACAAACCAGGGGGAGCATGGAGCCCCCCCTGCAGTGACTGCCCCCTCTGGGCCTGCAGAGGACCTCTGTGTCTTTCCCAGCTGGGACAGCTGCTCCTGCAGCCACCTCAAGAGATGACACCTGGGCTGCATTTTCTGCTGATCTGATCCATGTGGGCAGGTCCTGTGCTCCCAGGACAGAAAGTGACCCCCAGGGAGAGCTGGGAATGAAGCCTTGAACTTACCTGAGCTTGGAGAGCAATGAGCCAGAGACCTACCCTGTGAGGGGGCTGTTTTAACAAGACGCTTCAGCAAGGTCAAATACAAGGGAAAAGTGCTTTCCCTCAGCCCATGTCTGGAGTATTTCTCTGCTGAGCAGCCTCCTGCCACCACGGGCTTTGCTCAAGCCCCTCCACACAACAGAGAAACACAACAGCCCTGCGCTCTACCCTGAGAGCAGCCGGTGCCGAGACCTCCGCCAAGGACGTTCCCTAGTCCAGCCTGGACAGGAAGGGGGAATGAGCCTGGGAAGGGCTGGGAGTGGAGGCGGTGGGCCACCATAGGAGAGAGCAAGCACAGTTAATTCTCATTTATCTTACCACAGACAGGGCCAAAATGTGGTCAGAGTCATCTTCCTCATCCACCTGAAACGTGTAGGATTTGGTACTGGCAGTCAGCTCACAGCCTAGAAAGAGGAGATCAGAAAAGCGGCCCTGAGCACCACAGGCCCAAGGTTCTCAGAGTGAGCCCCACATGAGCACAGCTGTGACATCCCTAAAACACTATTTTCTCACGCTCAGGAGCAGCCTCATGCCAGGGCACCCTGCGCTCCAGGGTAAAGCATCCTCCAGAACTATGCACCTGGCTCAGCACTACACAAGGACAAAACCTGGTGTCCCCAAAACTGGGCTGCTGTGAAACAGTACCCTGGGATACCCCTGAGCACAGGCAGGGCAAGGCTCATCCCCTCCAGAGATCAGGATGGCCAAGGCACATGGCGCTGGACAACAGGAGAGGGAGCAGATAGAGGCAGCTCTGCTCTCTCCAGCATCAGCCAAATGTTTGTTGTTGAGAATCTGGAGGCAAAGACACAAGAGTGTGAGACCTGAGCAATGAGGAAAAACAAGGGGAGGATGCTGGGCCAGGCTGCAGGAAGCTGGAGTCCCTTGGGACGAGTCTTGGGACAGATTTTATTATGCAATTCTCCAAACAGCTACAATAACAGGGGAGATGCAAAACTGTGTCCTTAGCTCTTAGGATCAGGATTCAACCAGCCATGGGGGGAAAGGAAAGGCAGAGCCCTGGGTGTGTTTTCTTACTGCAGGATGATTCACCAATGCGAAGCAGCCAGGAGAAACACAGACCTGAGCCCTGCATACCAGACCCGGCTTCTGCAACGGAAGCACAGCCCAGGGCAAGACCTGTCCCTAGCCGAGCAGCTGCATTCCGCTCACCAGGGCAGGGACCGAAATCCAGGTGCACAAAGGGCGCGGGGG